GGTAGTTTGAGCATGTGTGGCCTAAATAAGCTAAACCCCCCTCCCTTACCTTATTTAGGCCATATGTGGCCTAAATAAGCACTCCCCTGATTCATTATTCTTCAGAGCCATCCCAGGGTTCACATTCCAGTCTTTCCACACTTTCGATGACGGACAATTCATGTTTACTATGTTAAAGAAGGATGGGGGTAATCTCAAGGCACGACACCGGCAAATGTGGATTGTGGGTGACCAGAAAGTGGGCGGAGCTTCTGTGTTGAAGCAAGCCTGGGTTGCCGGAAACTGCGCGCCGCTGATAAGTAGGTCGACTAGTCGACTTCTGACACAGAAGGTGACTGTCGTGCATGTGTGTGGGTGTGTCGTCAAATCATTGACTCGGCTTTGGGAGAGAAACGAGGAATTGAAATGATGCTTGCCAGACGCACACCACCTACGTTTTAAAGCGTATGCAAACCCCCAAAACGATTATAAAGAGTAAAGCTCACGCACAACCAAAACTTAAAGGGGGTAATCTGCAGCTTTAACGCGTAATATACGCAGAATTGTGCGTAAAAGAGAGACCTGTGACTCAGTGTGACAACCCGTGTGTTTGTTTAACCATGGCACTCGGTCTTCGTCGCCTTACTTGCAAAATCAGCAACAAAAAGAAAGCAGCCAGCCCCCCAAAAAAACCCTGACATCACCCATCCCCCTTTTTCAAAAGAAAAGAAACATTTTTTAATTTATCTTACAGTACAGCATCCAAACTCACTGACTACTGGCCCCTTTCACAAATCACTAGCGCTGAGTACTGGCATTTTTGGGGGTATTTCAAAACACCACCACAACTCTCAGAATTATCCTAATTATTTTTTCACACAATATCTCAATAAATTAACTTTCAAACTTAATCTATTGCAAAAAAATTAAGTTCTGTCTGTAGGTCAAATACTTTAATTTTTATGATTGTTTCAAAATTGGAATGAATTTGATTTTTTCGAAAAATTTCCAGACATGACAGATAGAATGGAATTCACAACAACAAAAATAAAAGTTCAGAGTGTTCTGTTTTTATTTATATCCATGTGTGAGTGTCTGGTGAAAATATAAAAGCTGGTCTGTGCGTTAATTCAGACTCATACACTGAATTACATGAGACAGATGTAGGGAACAAAGTTGTGATTTCGTCACGCGAACAACAACAGTACTAGTGCTAGATCTAGCCCTAAAACTACGACTCGGGCCGTGTTCGGGTAGGCCTACATATCCAGAATCCTAACTACAGTGGAGTCCACTTATAACGAGTCCGACGTTTTTTTCTCCTTTACCTTTGTAAATAAAATACTGCTATTGCGCTATCAGACAAACATGCGAGTCGGTTATAGTATAGCGGAAATTGCTGTTGCTGTGCACAGTGCATTGACCTATTATACATAATGCAAAACCTCGGCAGTTGAGAAACGTGTTGGTGATCTAGCGAAACATAGAATAGGAGAGCCCATGTGCGTCAACAATGAAGGCCGGAGCGACTGAGTAGGGAGGGTGTGGCATGCGCAGACAAGCAGAACGCATCGCATGATAAGCCAGCGTAAGCCTAGTTTAGATTATCGAGGCCTACCATGCCTCTCACTTCTCCGATACAGGGATGGAGAGGACGCAGCAATGTGATGGATGGAGCGAATGTGTGACGTGCACGAGCAGACGGAATGCACCTCAGGGTGGGATGGGTTGGGGAAAAACACAGCGAGCGAGTTAGCCCAGAGCCCTTTCTTTTTGATCGCCAAAGCCAAGCTGCCAGTCCACATCGCTAGACCTAGCGCTAAAGAAATAAACCCGATTCGAATTTTGATCAAGTAAGACCTAGAGGTCATGTTGAAACAAAATCAGCATCAGGGGAGATAGCAAAAGGAAATAAACAGAACACCAAACTCATAGATTAGGCCTACTTTACAGTTTCCCTTGAATTTATTACTGGATCCCTTATAGCGAGAATCCTGCTATAACGGACATTTTGCTCCGGTCCCCACCCTCTCGTTATAACAGGATTCCACTGTATCAGACACATCATATCCTGAGTCACTAGAACTCGCAAAACGAACAGAAGTATCGAAAACAGCGAATTTATGTGATTCTTGCTCATGCGACCGTTACTTCAACGCGACTGTCGGATTACTATCATTTGTATAGAAAAAACATAGCGCGAGTTCCGGTCAGGTCAACCCCAGATGAGGTGACTGTCCTTCACCTTCAATTGCTTAAAAAGTTACAACGAAACTTCCGCCAAACTCGGCACGAAACGAAACAAGAGGCAAAACTAGCACTGGAGTCCGTTCCCGTTCATGTGACAGGAGCACAAGATATGGAACAAAATCGCAAAGTCCATCCCGTCGGGGTTACGGGATCCGTACCTGCGAACCGACCGACCGCCCCGTGACGGGATCCGTAGTCAGTGAGTTGTTAAAGCCTGAGATCAACCCTTGTTTGGACCCCAATGACTTGCTTTCCTCATTTTGATCAGTCCTGCATTACAAGGCCACTTTTCTCCTTGACAGCGTGTGGCCGTTTTATACAGGTTCGACTGTATCTCCATCTTCCTGCTGAGAGGTATTCTTCTCAGCACAGGTTGGTATGGTCAGGCAGTCAGAAGCCCGCCTCATAAATGATCAAAATTGTGTGGAAGAGAGCATAATAAAATGGGAGTGCTTATTTAGGCCACATATGGCCTAAATAAGGTAAGGGAGGGGGGTTTAGCTTATTTGGGCCTCAGTGTGGCCTAAATAAGGTAAGGGAGGGGGGTTTAGCTTATTTAGGCCACACATGCTCAAACTACCGGGGGACACCCTTTTCAGGCAACTGAGTTCGTTCCACTTTCATAATGGTGCACCCTTCTCATTTAGTACAGTTTTGTCTCAGTGTACAACTTTTATATATATATATATATATATATATATATATATATATATATATATATATATATATATATATATCATAATGATATTGTAAGAACAAAGCATGATACGCAAAATTTTGCTCAACCCCAAAAGTTTGAATGAGGGCCAGATTTTTCCTTCATGGAGGGGCAAAATCTAGGCTACCATTTTGGCACACTTTGGTCAAGTGAAAAGGTCAAATCCTCCGAATGGACTTCCGGGTCAAATTTGGGGTATAAAAAGTGTGTACACAACGTGGCTGAGTCAAAGTTACACTATCTTTGGCTGGGTGGCACTCTCTCGTACTGTCTCGTAGTAGTACAT